TTGATTTATCTGATCATTTTAAATACTGACACATACTATGAATGGACTCTCCCCATGTCTTTTCCTGAGATAGTTGCTTTCTTGAAAAGATCCTGATGCACAAGAAAACCATTTTTAATTATTCATTTAGCTGGGGATATAAAGCAAAATCTCTCCCAAAATCCAATTCCCAAAGAATAATCACAACCAATGCTCAAAGATAGCAGCTAACAAAAAGGAGTAATCCATAGGTCTGATAATTGGGTGGGTCACAATACTTGTACCCCTCATGCTAGAAATTAAGGAGTAACAATAAATGTCTGTACTGGCAATTCCTTTTATAGAACTTTCAACAATGAAATATTAACTTTTGATACTTACTATGTTGCTCAGTTAATTTGATCTGCACTTACTGTGTACATTTTCCTTTTATAATTCTTGGGTACTGTCTATCAAATGCCATTCACTTTTGCATATTACAAAACATACTTTTAGAGGTTTTTGTGTAAGTTGTTTGGAAGAATATTTTCTATGTCGGACAGATTGTATATTTTTCTGGGAGCAAGTATATATGCTTGTTTTAAAATCTTTTTACAAGATTTCAGGAAAATGTAATAGTAATATAGGAAAGCTAAATAAAATAATGCCATCAAGGTAACATGATTTATTTCACTGCATGATCTTTGTTGGCTTAAAACTCTGATTCCATTTAAATAAAGCTTCCCTTCATAGTCACTATGAACTTTGCTTTATATTACAGCCTACACATCCAATTTATATGAAGGGAATCATTCTGATTTTAAAGAGTTTTTTAAATAGACTGTTTCTCTTTTATGGACATACACATATCCCACTTTCACACATAATTATTTCATTTGTATAGTGCCTGTAATTTATGATCATTCATAATATAAATTTCTTTTTACTGGATAGTCATTGTCCTTCACTTAATATGATCTTGACCTGCATCTGAGTCATTGTCAAGAAAAAGCAACAGCAAATGGATAAATGCTGCTTATATCTGACTGTTTAGATCACATACGCTTGTTTTCTTAAGATCTGGATGACACAAGTTCCTAACCAGCTCCTGCTGACTTAAAGCTTGCTTTATTTTCCTGGCCACAATGCAAGGTGAGTTATGAGGGTAACTTTATGTTAAACTCATGCTTCCCTCAGTAGAAGAACAATTAGAACCTGTTTTTCTCTGAAGAAATGCAATTGCTTATGCACTGTGATTTCCTGTTGGTTTGGATGGATAATTCAGATTTATTAGTGTACCAATTTTTCTTAAACTAGTGAGACTATAAAATCCAATAATAGGTCACTATTATTATTGTCATTCATTGCATATTCAGCCAGATGTTTAAAGCAGATTTGGCATTTTTATACATTTTGCCCATCTTGTGTTTGATGTTGTTAAAGCTATTGCTGCAGGATGTAAGCTGTTTCAAGTAAAGCTGCCTTTTGCAATTATTATTATGGTTTGTTGATTAGACTGTATTTGACATTTTTATCCACCTATTCAGTCCTTCCCAAGGACCTGGGATAGGTAGATGTTGATATTTGATGGTGTTAGATCTGTCGCAAGATGTAAGCTATTCTAAGTAAAGCTGCCTTTTGCAATTCATTGATGGTGAATTTGTCATTCAAGTAGTGCTCCAGTTGTTTTGGGATTGCATCCAAGGCATCTATCAATCAGAATAGAGCTGGAAGGGATCTTGGAGGTCTTCTAGTCCAACCCCCTGCTCAAGCAGGAGAGCTTATACCATTTCAGATAAGTGGCTGTCCAGTCTTTTCTTAAAATCCTCCAGTGATGAATCACCCACAACATCTGAAGGCAAGCTGTTCCACTAGTTAATTGTCCTCACTGTTAGGAAGTTTCTCCTTAATTCCAGGTTGCTTCTCTCCTTGAGTAGTTTCTATCCATTGTTTCTTGTCTTGTCTTCTGGTGCTTTGGAAAATAAGTTCTTTGTGGCAGCCCCTCAAATACTGGAATACTGCTATCATGTCACCCCTAGTTCTTCTTTTCTCTAGACTGGCCATACTCAATTCCTGCAACTGTTCTTCATGTGCTTTTGTCTCCTGGCCCTTAATCATCTTTGTTGCTCTTCTTTGCACATTTTCCAAAGTCTTGACATCTTTTTTGTAATGTGGTGACCAAAACTGGATGCCGTATTCTAGGTTTGGTCTTACTAAGAATTTATAAAGCGGTACTAATATTTCACATGATTTTGATTCTATGCCTCTGTTTATATAACCAAGGATTGTATTAGTTTTTTTGGCTGCCGCTGCATACTGCTGACTCATGTATAAGTGATTGTCCACTAGGACTCCAAGGTCCCTCTCACAGTTTCTATTTTTGAGCCAAATTTCACCTAATCTGTACTTGTAGCTTTGGTTTTTTCTGCCTAGGTGTAAAACCTTACTTTTCTCCACATTAAATGGGATAGAGCCCATAGCTCAGGTCTATCAAGATCTTTTGGAATCCTAAGCTTATCTGCTGGTGTGTTGGCTATTCCTGCCTAATATAGAACCTTGTGGTACCCCACTGCTTCCTTCCTTCCATGTAGATGTAATACCATTAAGGACTACTCATTGAGTACAGTTTGCCAGCCAGTTACAAATTCATCTGGTGGTGATTTTGTCTATCCCACAGTTTTCTAGTTTACCAAGGAATAGGTCATGGTCTACTTTGTCAAATGCCTTGCTGAAGTCTAAGTATACTATATCCATAGCATTTTGCTGATCTACTAATTTAGACACTCTGTCAGAGAATGAAATAAGATTGGTTTAGTAGTGCTGGCTACTAGTAATAACTTTATTTGTTTCTAGATGTTCACAGATATGGGTTTTTAAAATTATTTTTTCCAGTATCTTCCCAGTATTGATGTTAGGCTGATTGGTCTGTAGTTTCCTGGGTCTGTTTTTTTTTTCCTTTTTTCCTTTTTTGAAGATGGGAACCACATCATCTCTTTTCCAATCCTCTGGTACTCCCCAGTGCTCCAGGAATTTTTAAATATATAATACAATGGTTCTGGGATAACATCTGCCAGCTACTTCAGAACTCTGGGATGTAGTCCGTCAGGTCCTGGTGATTTATATTAAGAAAGATCAGACAGATGTTCTCTCACCATTTGCTTGCTTATTTTAATTTTTATTTCTAGTCTGTCTTTTATAGTTATGTTTTTGGTAGGTTGGGCTATAGTTTCTTTTTGTGTGAAAACTGATGCAAAGAAAGAGTTAGGCAGCTCTGCTATCTCTGTACTGCCAGTTACATTCTTGCCATCTTCTCTCTTTAGTGGCGCAATTGCCTTCTTGACTTTTTTCTTGTTATTTATATGTTGAAATAAACTTTATTATTATCTTTGACTTTTGTTGCAAGTCTTTGTTCATTCTGAGCCTTTGCCTTCCTGACTTAATCTGTGATGACCCAGGGCACAGCACAGAGGCAATGCAGTCAGCTGGCAATTTAAACAGTTCTTTTATTGCTCCAAATTTTCCCAAAATGCTCCCAGGTTTGCTGACAAGCCTCCAACAAAAGAACACCCACACCCCTTCAGCTGACTTTGGCTGAAAGTAGGTTCAAATACAGTCTGCTTAGCATAAGAAAGTACTCAAGGCCATAGAGATAACAAGGAAGAAAACATAAACTTAACAAGTCTGTTTGAATCCTAGCTTACTTGAGCAGTTTTGAAAAGAGAGAATCCGAAATACAGTCCGATGTCTTTAAACATTCAAGTAACGTGGTCAGTCAATCCAATAGTTCGAATTTCCAGGTTTCCAAACAGAAGTCACAGAACAAGAGATTAGTCACAATATACAACACTCCAAGAATCAGCATTTGTTCCCGACAAATGCCCCTCCCCACAGCGTCTCCTTAAATCTCAATCTTCCTTGTGGAGAAGGGTAGGACGCTCTCCTCCCAAGTAATTGAGCCTACCCGCGTTGTTCCCTCCTTCTCTCCACTCTCCGTGCTCTAGGATCAGGTGGGGATGGCCCTTGCTCATCACCTCTCCTCTCCTGTTCCAATCCTGAAGGGCCCTGGCCTGCCTCGCCCTACTTTTCCCCACATTCCTCTGAAGCCACAGACCCCTCTCCCTCAGCCTCCAAAGAGTCCCGTTCCAGTTTATTTTCCTCCGCAGATTCAGGCTCAGACGGAGGCATGACATAATCTTTGCAGATTTGGACTATCTGCTGATATTCTGCCTTTGTTATTCATCAGAAAGATCTTTGTGCAGCCATGCTGATTTCTTCTTGGATTTCTTGTTTGGTTTTTTTTTAAGTGGTATTATGTTGGACTGGGATTTATGATCATATTTTTCAGAGTTTCCCATGCTTCTTGAGTTGTTTTCCCCTTTAGGATTTTTATCCATGGAATTTTTCTTAGGCTCTCTCTGAGTTCGTTAATATCAGCTCTTTTAAAGTTAAAGAGACTGGTTGGATTATATGCTATTGATTGTGTTTGCATTATGTTGAATTCCAATATGACATGGTTACTCTCGCCCAAGGTTCCAGCATCATCAACTCCCTTTATCACTTCTTCTTTATTAGGGTCAATATTGCTTTTCCTCTACTTCCCTCTACTTTTTGGATGACAAAGTTGTCAACTAAGATGGTTAGGAATCTGTTCGATCTCCCACTTGTTGCAGAGTTTGTCTCCAGTTGATATCAGGGTAGTTAAAGTTTCCCATTACTATTGTGGAATGTTTCCTACATACATTTGTTAATTGATTAGCAAAAAGTTCATCTATTTCTTCTGTTTTGTTGAGTCACCTGTAGTATATGCCAATAGCAATGCATTTTTCCCTTTTATATTGACCTATTACTATTGTTATTACCTTTGCTTTCTTTTGTACAGTCATTCTATTTCTATTTGCAGGTCTTTGTATTTTGTTATTTTCTATTATCATTAGCCATACTGTAAATGATTGCTAATTATATTTACTAAAAATATAGATTCTGTCTTTGCCTTCTTGATTAACAATCTTTTACTCTATTTTGTGTGTATTTTCTCTTCGCAGTGCCACCTTGGGCCTTAATAGCCATAGCCATAGTTGCCATCTTATTAGTCCTTACCTGCTGTTTCTGTCTGTGTAAGAAATGCTTGTTCAAAAAGAAAAACAAGAAGAAGGGCAAGGAGAAGGGAGGAAAGAATGCAATTAACATGAAAGATGTAAAAGATTTAGGCAAGAACTTGAAAGATCAGGTAAAGTATATACCGTGTTCTTAAATTTATACTGTATTTGAATATTTAAATGCATAGACTGAGAGGAAGAGATAAGCTATTATGTACTGTATTGAAAATTGACTAGTTGCGAGTATTACAATGGAAACTTTCTATCATTCTATTCTCTTGATCAGCACCCTTAATTTGAGTTTGGGCTGCTACAGGTACAGCTCCTAGATGTTTTCAGATTTGTAGCTCAGGTTCAGTTTACTAGGTGTACTAAGTTTACAACACATAATAGATGTTGATATTTCTGAGAAGGAGTTCACAACATAATAACCAAGATGGCTGAGTTATCTGTCATCTCACAAAACTACACTGAGATCTCCCCCAAGATAATGTTTTATTTATTTATTTGGTCTAAAATTTTGCAGGATCATTGAGTTTAGTAAGATTTTGGTAATCTTTTGATAATCTTGACAAAGCTGAAACACCAGATAAGAACACCAAAATTGGCCATCAGGTTGCTTAAGAGTTTGTGATTACTAGTTAAAATTTCATGACATTTGAGGTGATTTAAGAATATTTAGCCATCATATTGTATGCTAGAATCCACTGTCTGAAATGGATGCCAACCAGTGCACAACCAAGAAAAGTATTATTATATTGATTATCTGCTATTAAGGCAGTGTTGACTCTTAGCAAACCTATAGAAAAAATTTGTTCATGTTATGCCCCTAACCTGGTCCTTCAAGTCTTCCAGAGGTGTACCCATTACCACTGTATCTGAGTCTGTCCACCTTCTTGCTCATCTTTCTCTTCTTTTCTTTCTTTGACCTGTCCCAACATAAGAACCTTCTCCAGAGAGCTAGGTTTTTACATAATATATCCAAAGTATGATAATTTGAGCCTGATCATTTGTGCTTTGAGTGAGAACTCTAGATTGATTTATTCTTGTATATGCATATATAATTAGAAATAAGAACCACCAAATTAATATCTAGAGCACAAATAAAAGATAATCTGTTATTCCTTCTATAGAATGTTCTTCTGGCTCCTTAAGCCTACTTGTATTAAGATTATTGGGACTGCCATTTCTTTATCACAAATTAACCTCAGCCCATCTTATTAACATCAAAACATGAATAAGGCTTTTTGGTCAGACAATTTAATTTTTTTCATTTCTTTTCGAAGCAATTATTGCCAAATACTAGAATATGAAAAGTTAAAATTACTCCTCTTATATCAAATTTTCATTATCTGATGAAAGAAGAAGAGTATGAAGAATAGCTTTTCATTGATACCATTATCTGTAATCAATTTATATCACTGCTTTATAAATAAAGAGTAGCCCTTAAGTTATGTATATTGCTAGTTACTGATAAATTCTATTGTGGGTACTACATAAGTGTCCTTTAACAACAGAACCCTTCCTCCCAGTGAAATGGGAATGTTGGTGTCATGGAAATGCATCTTTTTGATTTGTCAAGCAAGAATGTGCAGAATTTTCCAGAAAACAAAAATGCTCTATAAATTCAATAAAGCCGGTATTCTAAAGGAGAGTTATTGCAATGGAAGAACAAATGAATAGCACCTAAAGAAAGGTGAACTAACCCACATGAAGAAGTTAGAATTAAAATTTCTTTGATAGTTTTGGTATATTCTTGTAATAAGCACTTCTTGCTTCAGGAGGACAGAAATCTTGTTATAAATCTTCCTGACAGTTAGAACAATTAACCAGTAGAACAACCTGCCTCCAGAAGCGGTGAATGCTCCAACACTGGAAGTTTTTAAGAAGAAACTGGACAGCCATTTGTCCGAAATGGTATAGGGTTACCTGAGCAGGGGGTTGGACTTGATGACCTCCAAGGTCCCTTCCAACTTTTTATTATTATTATTATTATTATTATTATTATTATTATTATTATTATTATTATATGTTACACACAAAGAATGTGATAAATTTGTCCTATTATTTATACACTAATGACATATTAGAACTGCCTTTTGCAAAGGTTAGAACTTTATTACTTAGCTCTATGATTAAACAAGTATGAGCCCACTAATCTGGATAAGTTTAAGGAAAGATTCTTTTGGGATTTTAGGATTAGCCAAAACTACTTGTTGCTTGAGTCAAAATAATACAGTAAATATTGTTCAGTCACCTTGATCGTCAGCAGTTAACATGGAAACTCCCTCAAGGATTTGTCCCTGGCTGCAGATATCAAACAATAATAAATAAAAATAACTAATTATATGTGATTTAAAAAAAATCACTTTCTTGGATAAAGTCTCATTCTACTTAATGGTAGAATTGGTTTCACTTTTCCAATAGATAGATGCATATATATATTTATATGTATTGTATGTATAAATAAATGTACAATATCTTTATGTAAATTTCCTATTAGATGAGAGAAAAGAGATAGATGCTTAAAATATCCCATCCATCTTGCACTAGTCAATTACACTATACAGGTTTTCATTTCAACAGAGAATTCTGAAATGAGTAGGTCTATCACTGAGAACCTTAAAATTTAAGAACAATTTTAACTAATGAGTTACAGTTCAGAACTGATTTAGCAGATACCCATTCTGGCAATAACAAAGATTTCTTTCTAATATACATGCTAATTGTGACTCATTCTTTAATTGCTGATCAGTTATGGTAATCATAATCAATATTTCATTAGAAGATAGTCTGAAACTACTCTTTTAGGGATCTAAAGAAAAGAAACTTTGTATATTGGTAATAATTCTAATGATAACCATCTGTTGTGTGTTTTTAATAGGACAAACTGAATGTATTTTGTTGCTATATTTTTGTGCAGTTTGTGTGTTTTTAATAAAGCATTTTTCTATGATAACAGTATATTATTAAATGTGTTCCATTATATTTGTTGAGATCTGGAAAAATGACCAAAAAGTTATATGGTGATTCTGGTCAACTTACAGTTAAAAAAAGGAAACAATATGCATAGAAGAAAAAAAAAACACAGCTGACCAGAAGAGTAATTCAGTAACAGGGGGAAAAGAAGTATAACAGCCTACAGTAGCTTGTTTTATAGGCATCAGCAAGAAACATTTTCCATTTTCTTTATTGGTTATCTTGTGTGAAGATCATGCAATTTTAGATCCATTTTTTCTAGAAGGCACTTGATTTGGGATGGCTGTTTTGAGAATGCAAGAAAAAAAGTTTTCTAATCTTTTGCACCATAAATGCTGTCATTACTCAAAGGATCTTTTTAAAAGGTCCATATGAATAGATTCCATATAAATACAGCATGAATATAATTTAATTTAAAACCTATGGTAAAGTGATTAGATTTACCTTAAATGTACTTATTCAGAAATAAGTCTCACTGCCAGATGCATAAGAGTTCAGACCCTTGCCATTCAGTAAGTACACTCTGTAGATCTACTGAGATTCCCTTTTCTAACTAATGGTTTACTCCAGTCAGATGGCAGCAACTTGTCAACACTAGCTGATATCTATTGCCAAATATCACTCTTGGTTAACACAGGGATGGGAAAATAAAGTGTATCTTTTCTACTGGGGAATGGAAAATAAAAGATATCCCAGAAGAAGCAGGGCAAACCATTGTCACACAGTTACCAAGAATATGAAGATGCCATGAGTAAGCTCCTCTGAAGGATATTTTATATTTTCTTTACAACTATTCTATAAAAGAAAGATTATAAGTTAAGTGTGTTAAAAGATTCAGCAGAAAGAATATATGTAAAAGGTCATTTCTCCATAGTTTTACTATTTTTGTGTGGATGTTTTAATTTTTATTTCTTCCTTCTATGTCCTCCTTATCAATGTTGTGTCTCATGACTGTTCTGGATTGTCACTTGCGGTAGGTTTATTTTGCTCTTTGGACACATGTAAAGTAAAGCTCTAATGTACTTAACATCCCAATAGCTGTGGCTCCTCAGCCTGAGATTTATGCAAAGCTTTTACACACATCAAGAGGCTGAACTAAATTGATTTATTTATATTACAGGATTTAATACTCATTTCCTTTATTCTCTATAACTTATTCTAAGCCGAAAAGTGGTTATACATTTCAGATTTTGATATGCACTGATTTTGTTTTCTTTTTTTTTTTTTTGGTTATATGTCAAAGTACCAGAATGACTGTATGCTATTTTTTCTTGTATGAAAGAGGAAAGAAATTTGTTTTAGTTCAACCTTTGTGAAAAGAGGTGACCTAATCATATAACTGATAAACTGAAAAAAAATATTGGGAATTAACAATATGTCTCAGGAATAATTGCATCATTGGTCTCTAACCTTTATTGTGTCACAATTTGTTAACAGAGAGGAGAGCACTTTAAATTATATCAGGCTGATTTTTTTTCATTAGCTAAATTTTATGGCAAGTATACCTCATGTTTAAACTGAGTTATTGGGATTCAGTATAAGTTCTAGTAATAGAATGTGTAAAAACCTAACATTGCCAAAGATCAAGATGAATACCATATTTTCCGGCGTATAAGACTGGGCGTATAAGACGACCCCCGACTTTTGAGAAAATTTTCATGGTTTAGAAAATCGTCTTATACGCCGGAAAATACGGTACTATTTATTTTAAAAGGAAAGAAAAAAAGGAAATATGTATGGGATTAGAGAAGATGAACAAATACACTTGTGATTAATCTAATTTAATTCACCATCATATTTTCCACCAATCAAGTGCCTCTATTCAATTCCCAATGGAGGATGAAAAAAATACAAAATTCTCCAAAGTAGTACATTCCAATAGAACTCTAGAGAGCATAGGAATGGCTTTGAATGACAGTGGAAAGATCTGTAACCATGACAAAGAACAGACAAGCATGGTTTAGGTCATTCCAAGAAACTAACTTGAGGATTCACACAAAGATAGAGGGAGAAGTCTATTCAGACTTGCAAGATTCTGTAACTGTGAGCTGTTATACTAAAATAGTTAACCTATCTGGCATTGGTTTCTCCATCTGATTTACCATACAGGGCTGAAAGGAATAGCTACAGAACTATAAGAAATTTTGGAATATAGTATTTCAGGAAGCTCCCAAAGAAAATTTCTGACTGAATCAATTTGTATTCATGATCAATAATATTATTCCCTATTTATTTATCTATTTATTAAATTTCTGTGTAGCCATTGTCACTAATACAGCAACTCTGGGTGGCTTACAATATGATAACCAATTAAAAGATGCTAAAAATCAGAATTAGAATAAAAAGATTAAAGTTAAGAACAGGGATGATGGGCAGCCTAGGGTGAGAATCTTCTCTATCCCATCAGCCACTCCCAATGTGACAGGCCCCTGTTGGGCTACAGGCCAAACAGCAGAGCCAAGTTTTTAGGCTCTTTCAGAAAGCCAGGACTGTGGGAGCAAATCTCACTTGTAATGGGAGAATATTCCAGAGGGCAGGGGCCACAGCAGAAAAGCCTCTTGTCCTGGATTCACTGGCCAAAATTTATTGGCCGATGGGATCCAAAGTAGGCCTTTTCTGCTGGAACAAGTGGGGTGGATTAGTTCAATCAGGGTAAGGCAGTTCCTCTGGACCCATATCCTGGAGTCATGCCATAAAAGTTTTCAAAGTTATGACCATGGTTCCATGAATTGGAACCAGAAGCAAATTACCAGAAGCAGCCAATGCAACTCATGTAACAACTTTGCCATGTGTGCCACCTGAAGAATTGTCCATGCCACTGCATTCTGTACCAGTTGTAATTCCAAATACTCTTCAAGAGTAGCCCCATGTAGAACATGTTGCAGTACTTCAACCAGGCAATGCCAAGAACATGAGTGACTGTGCACAGGGCCTGATGATTCAGAAAAGGGTGCAACTGGTGTACAACACGAAGTTGTGCAAAGGTTCTGCCAGCCATGACTGGTCACAAATCTAGGAGAACCCCCAGATTGTGCACATGGTCTATCTGTGATACAACCCTGTCCAGAATTAAGGATGATGAACCCCCTGATCCTGAGGCCTTTCAAACCCACAGACTTATCAGGATTCAGATGAAGCCTGTTGTCCCGCTTCCAAACCCCAAGCACTACCTCTTTAGATTGCTTTTTAAAAATTATTTTTATTGGAAGGATTGTTTTTGAGGAATCCCCAGTGCTCTCTGAGCTTGCTTGTTTTCTTGCAGATGTTTCATTACCCAAATTAGGTAACATCATCAGTGCTAGTGACTGTGCACAGGGCCTTATGATTCAGACTAGCACTGAGGCTTTACCTAGTTTGGATAATGAAATGTCTGAAAGAAAACAAGCAAGCTCAGAGAGCACCAAGGACCCCTCATGTCAACCCTGAGCTACAAATATTCTTCTTGATTAAGATTGCTTTTGGTTTCGTCTGGGTTGCACATTTTAAAAATCCTTTTTTATCTTGTATTCTTAATACATGTTCTTAAATGATTTGGTAATATGTGATCTGTGGCTTTATTCTTCCTATCTGTGAATCCCAAATAAGGTTGAATCAGATTTATTTTATAGAAATTAGATAATTCCATTCCATTAGCTCAAATAGTCTTCAGTGCCAGTGGGCATACATATAAAGAAAAAGAGTAGAGAGTAAAATAGGAAGGTAAATTGTCAGAATGAGAATGAGTGTTTTCTCCTCATACACCCCAATTTATTTTCATACTGCAAAAGAAGCAATTGATGTAATATTTTTATACATTTAATCATAAAGTTTCTATCACCTAAAATAAAACTTTGAGCCTATTTTGTTTTAACAAATACATGATGAAACACATTTAAGTTTCATTCTAACTAGAGTTGACAATCCTAAAATTACACTGAAATCACTGGACCTCTTTCCCCCATTGTTTTAAATCAAAAATAATGCAGCGTAGCTGATACATATCAGATTATAACTTTAACTGAATTAAATCCTTGAACATACTTTTTTGAGAAACCATGCCTGTTGATTGAAATGTTAAACATAGATATTTGGAAATAAGTCTCAAGAGCTAGCATACAAAATATTGTCTGCCCATTTTTAAATCTGAATTATAATAAGATGGAAATTTGTTTCAAATACTGCTTCAATCGATACTTTTAACTTTTTCTTTTTTATAAAGTTTCTGTTGGAAATTGCTCTCAGTGCCTTCTTAAAATTAATGATACTTTATCTCAGATAAATTTGCAAGTGTTAGTTATCCTTAATTGTTTAAAAATGAGATATCTTTAAGTCACTTTGGTTCAGCCAATCTTTAAATTAATATCAAATGAAAAGAAAAAGAGAATGAAAGGAATCCTAATTTTTTGTGACCATACATTTGTTAATGTCTTAGTGGTACCTTTGCTTCTACATTCAACCCAAATGAAAACAAAAACACTGAAGCTGTTTGGCATTTCACTTTTTGAAGAAATTATATGCAATAACATTAAAATAGCAGTAATTCTGCAGAAGCACTTTGCTTTAATGTAGGTAATTCACAGCATGCACAATGGTTTAAATTGGAAGACTTTGCAACCTTGCTTATTTAATAGCATGCTTATTCACAACTGTCTTTGGACAAGCAATTTGATTCAATTTGATTTTTAAAAAATTAAGTATCAAGTTGACATTCTCTTTATGTTTCAGGCTTTGAAACAATTGTTGCTTGCAATATCCCCCCCTCCAAAGAGGCGTTTCATAGCTTTTTTGCTGCTTGCTGCTGATAATTCTTGTATATTTGGACCAATCTAAATATATATAGACAACATAATGCCATCATGCTTGCTTTTTTTTGCTTCACTATATGACTAAGCAGAAGTGCTTGGTTTTATTTTTTGATGAGATTATTTTAGGGGTTTGCTTATAAATCAGTCATTCTTATTGACACATTTATTGCTCTTAATTGTCTACAGGCCCTTAAGGATGATGATGCTGAAACTGGATTGACTGATGGAGAAGAAAAAGAAGAAGCCAAAGAAGAGGAGAAATTAGGGAAAATCCAATATTCCTTGGATTATGACTTTCAGAACAATCAGGTTTGAAACAAATGTGATCTTAGAATTTTATGAATTAAAACCCAGTATTTTAAAACCTGCAGAAAAGTGCTGTCCTGAGGTCTCATAGAGCACACATGGTGATCTCCAGTTCTCCCTTATCTGGAGAGGTTCCATGGAACCATTATTGGTTCCTTGGTCTTTGCCGTAGTTATTGGCTTCACTTCTTCAATTTGCCCTATCTCCCTTGGAAGTCGAATTTCTTTGAATAGTACTTATTTGGATTATTATTGGCTATTGGTTATATCCTAAAAATCTATCAAATGAACAGTATATTGATTTTAGATTAAAATATTATTTATTAAAATATATGTTCTTAATCATCTTTATTATACCTAGACTTTCATAACCAAATCATTAAAGTTCATTACAGATGTTTTGTTTTTATATCAAAAACATCTTTATCAAATTGCCTATATTGTATTGTGCTTTTGACATGAAAACTTAAAAACACTCTCTTTAAAAATAATAAAATAAACATAACTCTATAATACAAAATTATACCAATTAAGCAAACACAAATCAGTTATTAATTTATAAGTAATGAATCTTATTTTCACATTCATAGCTAATAAAAATTGTTAACTTTCATAATTAATAGAGATATGTCATTTTTTGTTTCTATAGTCTATTAAAAAGACTCTGCATCAAAATACTGTATTTGTGGCATAGCTAAATGGAAAAGATAATTAAATTATATTTACATTACATGTGCATGTACACAAAGATTGTGCTAGTATTTACTACAATAATAATGCAGCCTTCATGCACATGTACATTTAATATACTTGCCAGGTTCTTAATACTATTTCTATCTATCTGTCTGATAGTCATAGACAGGATAGTATAAATAAAAATCAGTTGTATCATTTTAATTGATCATTTTAAAAATGATAATTGATCATTTTAAAAATGATTAATTGTGGGTGGATAAACACTCCTTCATATTTCAAATATTTTCATTTAGTAATTTCTAAGTTTTAACTTCTATCAAATCTTTCTATTAACTTAAGTTGCATGCCAAGTTTTATCATGCAATTTTACATCTTTCTATTGAAAAGAGAAAAAAAAAGCCCAAGATGGATTCTTTAGGGCAGGGGTGTCAAATTGCCAGCCCGCGGGCCAGATGTGTCATGCCGAAACTGTGCCCACCCCATTGCTGACAATGGAAAAAAGTCCCAATACATCATGACACGTCACGTGACATTGCGAGTTTCACACCCCTGTTTTAAGGCAAAGGTTAGTTCAGATTATAGCTGCTTAAAGCAAGACATTTCAGTCCTTTTAGAATAATCATGAATTGAAGCAATGTCTCCAAGTACATCTTTCTAGTTCAGATACAGCCTGAGTAAGGCTTCATGTATTTCATCTGCTGTTCTGTGGTAACCTTTTTGTTTACTCATTCCTGAAGCATGTTTGGTTAAAGTTTCATCTGGTCCAGAACTTAATAGGCCTTACTATTCTCACATATTCCTCACTCAAAGAGCATCAGAAAATGAAGAGTAGTATGTATGCAACTTGACATGTCAGGAATAAGTTCTCCTTAAATGTCTGATTAAAATTTTGCTGAACTAATTCTTTCCCTCTGTCTCATCTCCTTTTCCAGCTTCTGGTAGGGATAATTCAAGCTGCTGAGCTGCCTGCTTTAGATATGGGTGGTACATCTGATCCATATGTGAAGGTTTTCCTGCTTCCTGATAAGAAAAAGAAATATGAGACAAAAGTTCACAGGAAAACCCTTAACCCTGTCTTCAATGAACAATTTACATTCAAGGTATTATAATGTACTTACTTTTTCATGACTAAAGATTAACCCTATACCTCACCAATGAATTGTTTATAGCCTAGTTAATTGTTACTGTTAACATAATGAACTTTTTTTAAAAAAGTAATACGTTTTCAGAGATTGCCTTCTTGCAAAATATACTTAAAGACAGGTATATCGTATTGCGTGCCTCCCCATGCCTCTGCCTCCACCTGCCGCTTGAGGGCTGGCCCAGCAGCCACACTGCTCGGACCCACCATCCGTCTTTGCTTGCTCACTCCTGCTGCAGCTAGGTGGGGCGGACAGCTGCCCAGCATGTCCAGCAAGCTGGATCATGTCCCCCACGCCTCTGCCTCCACCTGCTGCTTGGAGAACTGGCCCAGGATCTCAGGGTGTGGCAGCCAATGAGATCTGGCTGGTTGTGGCTGCTGCCAGGCACCACTGGCCCTCACGCACTCGCTGCTTCCTGTGCGCACGCCTAGGGGGATGCCTGGCCAAACTGGGGACAGGGACAGGGCAAAGGGGGCTAATCCCTTGCCATCTCCGGGCTGCCACTTGGGCCAGATCTGGGACCATCACAGGCCGCATCCAGATCACAGCCTTGAGTTTGACATGTCTGAAGTACAATATTCCAGCTGTACTCACAAGATTATATTTGTTTTCCTAAAATACCAGCTAGACAGCAAACCTATACATACATACAAAAACCTGTAATGCTCTGAGCAGGTGATGAGTGAACCCCATTTTGTGGCATCTTCTGTTTAACTCGATGCCAGGGGATGGAATGAGTGAGACTAGGCCAAAGCCACCATACCTAAAAGTGGCAAAGGTACGTAAGCAGGGTAGACAACAGGCAGGAAAAGCTCTCTTAGGGAAAGGAACCAAGTCATAAAGGGAAGAAAATGACAAAAGTTGGGTCTGAGTACATGGCAAGCCCTTCCCCAACCAACTCTGGGAAGGATAAAAAGAAGTCCTCAAGCCTGCCCAGCCCTTTTGAGGTGCTTTTGGATCCCAAACTTGGCAGCTTCCATCCCTCTGGCTAGTGCCTGGCAGCCTAGTAGTGGTCTCTGGGTAAGTGTGTGTGTGTGTGTGTGTGTGTGTGTGTATATAAAAGAGCAAAAATATATCAGTAAAAGTTTGTTGTTATTCTAAACTCACTGGGTCTCTGTGTATTTTAAAGAACCGTTTGTGCCTCAGTGTTCAGTTGATTTGGGATTGGGTGTGGCAATTTTCCAGGCCTGTTGTGATGACCCAGGGCACAGCACAGAGGCTGGCAGTTCAAGCCGCTCTTTATTTGCTCCAATTTTCCCCAAATGCTCCCACGTTTCTGGCAAGCCGCAGAACAAAGTAAGACACACACACCTTCAGCAGCCTCTGGCTGCAAGTAGTTTCACAAATTTTTAACTCTTCAGGCAGGAAGTGTGTGTGTATGGAACAAGCTGTCCTTCAGGTTTCAACTCAGTTAGATTAGAAGAGTAATTTACTCAAGGCCACATAGATAACAAGGAAAGAAACAAACATCCAAAATCTAGGAGTCTGTGGAAATGCAAGCTTACCTGAGCAGTTTCAGAAGAGAAGCCAAAATTCAATCGAGGTCTGTGAACACCAAATCAAATTTGTCAGCCAGTCGAATGGTCAGAGTTTCAGGGTTTCCAAGCAGAAATCACAACACAGAACAAGAGATCAGAGCTGTTTCCAAGATCAGCAATGGCACACAAAACTCCAAGCATTCAGTGTTTGTTCCCAACAAATGCCCCTCCCCGCAGCATCTCCTTAAGTCTCAGTCTCAAGGTGTGCCTTGTGGAGAGGGGCGAAGAGCCCTCTTCCTGTGTAGTTGAGCCTGCCTGCGTTGTTCCCTCCATCTCTCCACTCTCTGTGCTCTAGGATCAGGAGGGGGTGACCCTTGCTCATCACCTGAGCTCTGTCTCTCATGTTCATCCTGTCCCAATCCTGAAAGGCCCTGGCCTGCCTTGGCCTGCTCTTCCCCACATTTCTCTGAAGCCATAGACACCTCTCCCTCGACCTCCATGGGATCCAGTTCCAGCTCATTTTCCTCAGCAGATTCAGGGAGGCATGACACCCTGAATCTGTGAGTGTCTGTGAGTGACCATAAGCTGAATCTGAGAGCACACCTGTATAACATTTTATGGTGTCAGAAGTGAGTTTGCTGCTTTTTATCTTTCCTTAATATTGTCTTGAATCTAATTGATTTTATAAAAAATAACAATATACTCTGATGCTATTATACTGACTGATTGGATGCTATGAAAGTTGGGACTTGGGAGATGGGTTACAAATTTGCCTAGAAAGGAACTTAATAAATGCAGTAAAACAAAGAATTGTTAAACAATTCCTTTTCTACTAGATCTATATTTTTCACTTCCAATAGAATATTATTCCCTCTTAAAAAATAGCACCTGATTAATTTGATTATACACATGTATTTATATTAGTATTTTTGTGTTCCATATACTCTGTGATAGTTAATTGGTGTCATTGACACCATGTGAGATAATGGTTCCTTAAGCCTCCTAGTCTTTTCAGTGAAATGAGATTCAAACTGGAATTCGTAACTGCTATCTCAGAAACTTAGTGATATTCACAGAAAATAATGAGAAGCCTTAAACTTAATATTTTTTTCTGAAGGTTTGGAACCAGGTCATTATAGGCCAGGAAATCTTTCAGCACAGTCACATAATCTGCTTTGTATGCATTGTTACAAAGCATAACAATAAAATCTTTTTATACTTATCCCAAAATAAGCACCATTTTTAAAACATAGAATTTCACATTAAAGAAGAACAAATCAGAATTACTTTCCATCTCTTTGGGTTAAGGAACTATATTTTCCTTGATCCTAAAATAATTTTAGAGGTATTACTATGATATGGTAGTATATATTAAAAATGTTTTGCTGGGATGCTTCAAAGCTGACAAAAGTAATAGCTCTGGTGTCTAAGCAAATGATTAAACTAAGATTAAATAAATCAAAACATCCAGTCACTGCCTCTACAAATACCAAAGTTCTAGTATCCTTCTATAATATCAGGAAACATGTACATTAATGTGCATATGTTTTTCGTGCTTATCTTAAAAGGAAGTTTTCCTGTTTCTTTTTTAAATCTGAGAGTTTCTTCATCCATTATAAATGACAAGCTTTACAAGAAGGGAACCATTTTGAAAACAAATAAAAGCTAAATATACGTGAAGAACATGGGCCAAAAACTTCATTTATTTTAAGAATACAGTTAAAGGAAATGTTCATATTTGAAAATAAATAAAAGTAGCCATGTTTTGAGCACAAATCCAAATAGATTTTGCCCTATAACCCTATAAAAGATGCATCAACTGCATTTCTTCTTCTTAATGTAATATAACTAATGATAACCCTTCTACTCTACTCTAGCAGAGAACATATGAAAAATAATCCAGAATATGGCCTTCTGTTGCCAAAATATACAGCAACATATCATGCTAAAGGGCAAGCCTCATCATTAACAAAATGAAATTCTAAAGAGAAAAATAATAAAGTTCTTTTCAAAAAAAGCTATCTAATTTTTAATTATTCTGTGCCAACAGAGAAAAAAAATCAGATCTATGCTTTTTTTTATCATCCTATAACTTTTGGGAAGAGAGAAGTGACAGCATGATTTATTGAAAGGAACTTCCTCCAGTACTGAAAGCTTATGTGTCTGGGGCAGATAATTTGCCTTAAACTTCATGGTGGAGACTGACTTTCAGAACTCCAGGCGAAACTTCCTCATTGATGAATGAGCTACCACATTGCTCTATGGATTGCTATATTGTGGCCATTAAAGAATGTCATCAATGGCCTCTGCGAGAAAATGTGCCTTTTCCCTCCTTTCAGTTAAATGGGGATGGCAGATAGTAAAGGAAAGGTTTTGAATTGCAATCAAGGCATATTTACTTTTTAAAGGCCTTATAAGTGGGGTTCTCTCTCTCTCTCTCTCTCTCTCTCTCTCTCTCTCTCTCTCTCTCTCTCTCTCTCTCTCTAATTTAGGTGCCGTATTCTGAACTGGGAGGAAAAACTTTAGTGATGGCAGTATATGACTTTGACCGCTTTTCTAAGCATGATATTATTGGAGAATACAAAGTTGCCATGAACACTGTAGATTTTGGTCACGTGACTGAAGAATGGCGAGATTTGCAGAGTGCTGAAAAAGAAGAGGTAAGAGAATTATACCCTTTGTTAGAATTAATTCAGTTTTATTTTCTGCTTCTATGTTTCAGATTAATCTTAGGATAGTCTTTTCTAATTAAAAGACTCCATAGCACAAAACAAATTAAAGAAATACTTGATTGTACCTATTAGAAGAGCAAGAAGGATAGAAATGAATAGCTAGGGCACATAACAGACAAAATGAAATTTTCAGACCTTTAGCTGCAATATTCTGATCTTAAACATCATGGCTATAATGCAGAAGAGCAATACTTGTACATCAATTGAACATGGGATATATACAGAATATGCAGGCATTCAGGGTATCAACTCCTGGGATGAGAAGTCCTGCAAGTAATCTGCTCCTATGCCAAGGAAATGCTTTGCATTGAGACTTTTATTGATCCAATACTGGGCATCTTTTTTTAAAAGGATCTTACTCATTTCTTGGGACCGGGAAAGTTTTCACTTATTGATGCAAGATAGTTCATACAGAAGTTAAGTGTAGCTAGGATAGTATAATATAGGTAATTTTTTAAGGTCATCTGAGTTTAGGTGAAAATCTATATATGTGGAACATTATTGATTGATTGTTTGGCCAAATGCTGATTCAAATAAAATCAATATGATAGGTTCTGTTACATCAAGACATGTTGCATCATTTTTCGTGTTTGTTTCCCCCTCTTCAAATCGAACTTTGGGAACCTGATAAATAATATAAAGAGTAAAGTTAACCAAAAATATTTTATTATTGATATTTGATTGATTTGGTTTCAAAGAGATAGCAAGTTGGAAAGTGTTTCCCAGTGCTTGAGTCTTTGTCTATCTTTTTATGATGTGTGTACCAGTTTTCTGTCTTCTTGTTCTAATCAGAAATCATTCTCGGGAACCAATAGAGCTTTGAATATACTAAGGAAAATGGCCAAAAACAGCTTTGCAATCTTGATTATATACTACTGGCATTTCTTCCTTGGGGCTTCATTTCCATATTTATTTGTGGCACATTGTGGTGGTGTAGATGAATCTTCCAGGGCTAAAATATAGAAGAACTGCCTTATGGAAACTAATGCAGTAAATAAACTAATGTTCCTTCTGAGATCCTAAGCTTGATAGTAGCCTAAATCAATGACAATATTTATTGGGAATGATGGGAATTTAAGTCAGCCCCATGTAAATGATATATAATAGTTAAGATTGTTTAGAAAGCCATTGGAAAAGGATGCTAAACAATTTGCCCTGAAGAATTATAAAAAGTACAACTGCAACTGTAGCTTGTTTGAAATATAATCAGAGAATGTCTATTGATCATCTGTGAGTTCATATATAGGTATTTAGGACTAGTTGAAATAATATCCTAGAGTCCAGAAGGAAGAATTGTTTGCCCAAGTTGACTTATCATGTGCTTATATACACAGTTGTTAATATAGATTTCAATAGTACTAGACTGAAATAAAATTAATAAGATATTTATATGTCTCCATTTGTAGGGAGATTTTTTCTTATGCCTGTATTTTTGCAGAACCATGTGAAATGGTACAGTTTATGTTTGTCTAAATACAGTGAAGAAAGTCCATATTCTATATCACCATATAACTTCTGTCTTCAAATTAGTTTAAACATATCCTGTTCTTTCCACCTCTCTTGATAGAATTTAGTTTCTGATAAATTCATCTTGATTTTTGTCTTGATGACATCCTTATAAAATATTCTGCCCAATACTGGGTGCAGGACATTCAACAATATTGCTGAATTGAAAATGAAAATTAGAGGGAAAAAAGCATCTAAATCAGGGGTTCTCAACCTGTGGGTCACGACCCCTTTGGGGGTCAAATGACCCTTTCATAGGGTTTGCCTAAGACCCATCGGAAAACACATATTTCTGATGGTCTTAGGAACCGAGACACTGCTCCGCGTTCGTTTCCGCATGGCCTCCTCCGCCATTTGTAGAGACAGAGAGAGAGAGAGAGGCACTTTCACTTCCCTTCTCTCTCTCTCCTGTTCTGCTCCCCCTCCCCGCCTCTTTGGCTGAGGACACGGCAGGCCAGTGACTAGGCCGGGGGCGGCGGCGAGGAACCCTGATGATGCTGCCGTGCTACCGCCACCGCCACTGCCTCCCGTCCTGCTCCCCCTCCCCACCTGTTCAACTGAGTATGCAGCAGGGCGGTAGCCGTGCCGGGGGTGGTGGCGAGGAACCCCGACAATGCTGCCGAGCCGCCACTGCTGCCATCGGAGCTGCTGGCTCCCATCCTGCTCCCCCTCCCCGCCCCTTTGGCTGAGAATGCGGTGGGCTGCTGGCCAGGCCGGGGGCAGCAGCAAGAAATCCTGACGATGCTGCCATGCTACCGCTGCCGCCGCTGCCTCCCATCCTGCTCCCCCTCCCCGTCCGTTCAACTGAGGACGTGGCGGGGCAGTGGCCAGGCTGGAGGCAGTGGTGAGGAACCCTGATGATGCTGCCATGCTACTGCCGCTGCTGCTGCCTCCCATCTTGCTCCCCCTCCCACCCGTTCGGCTCAGGACGCACAGAGGCCGGGGCGGCAGGGACCCCCCAACAATACTGCCATAAGAGAGAGGAAAGAGAGAGGAAAAAAAGAGGAAAGAGAGAGAAAGAGGGAGGAAAGAGAAAAAGAGAAAGAGAGGAAAGAGAGAAAGAGAAAGATGGGGAGAGGAAAGAGAAAAAAGTAGAAAGAGGGAAAGAGAGGAAAGAGGGAGAGAGAAGAGAGAGAGAGGAAAGAAAAAGAGAGGAAAGAGAGAAAGAGAGAGAGAAAGAGGGAGAGGAATGGCGCTTCTCCAACCAGGCTGGGCAGAGCTGGCAGAGCAGCCTTCCTGCCCCCCCTCTCTGGCCAGCTGGATGGGGGGTTGGGGTCACCACAACATGAGGAACTGTATTAAAGGGTTGCGGCATTAGGAAAGTTGAGAACCACTGATCTAAGTGATATGAGAAATTTGTCAGGGTTGCCAGTTATTTAAAAAGTTAATGGGATCCCCTTTATTGTATGTAGTCATGCAGTTGGACAGTAATCTACCTGATAATTTCATTTGGATCCCTGTAGTGAGCAGTGAGTTACAATTCAGTGACCTGCATAGTCCTTCCAATTTAAGGCTTCAATAATGGCCACTGGGTTCAGATGGATTAACAGCAATCTATTATAAAATGTTATCTGAAGAAATGATAGAACCATTAAAGGAACTTTTTAACAGTATTTTGTTGGGAGCAGAGGTACCTCCATCTTGGAGAACGGCTTTTATATCGTTGATCCCAAAGGAGGATCAAGATCTTACCGAGCCTAAGAGTTATAGACCTATATCTCTTTTGAACACAGATTATAAGATTTTTTTGAAAATATTGGCAAATAGATTAATGCATGTTTTGAAGCAATTGATCCATAGTGATCAATCTGGATTTATAACTGGGAGATATATGAAATATAATATAAGACAAATTGTTAATTTAATTGAGTATTTGGACAAGAATAATCAAATCCCTGCGGCTTTGATATTTTTGGATGCTGAAAAAGCTTTTGATCAGTTAAATTGGCAATTTTTATTGAGAGTTGTAGAGAAAATGAATTTTGGGGATAAATTTTTATATGCTCTTAAGGCTATATATCAACAACAATCGGCACAAATTATAATTAATGGGAGATTAACAGAAGCCTTTAAAATTGAAAAGGGTACAAGACAGGGATGTCCATTATCCCCATTGTTATTTGTTTTAACAATGGAGATTTTACTAATTAAAACCCATGAATCAACTACAATAAAGGGAATAAAAATAAATAAGAATGATTATAGGTTGAGAGCTTTTGCTGATGATTTGGTTGTGACATTATCTCAACCGACACACTCGGTAAGGGACTTGGTGGAAATCATAACCCAGTATGGGAAAGTTTCTGGTTTTAAGGTAAATAATAATAAGACTAAAATATTACTGAAAAATATGTCTATGAAAGAAAAGGATATGTTAGCTAAATTGACAAGTTTTGAAATAGTGAAAAAGGTTAAATATTTGGGAGTATACATTACAACTTCTAATGCTAAATTGTATAAAAATAACTATGAGACACTATGGGTAAAAGTGCAAAAGGATTTAAATGATTGGAAAAAACTACAATTATCTTTGCTGGGGAGAATCTCAGCGGTTAAAATGAATGTTCTTCCAAAGTTTCTTTTTTTTTTTCAAATGATACCTATTTTGAAAAAAGATGCCAATTTGGATGAATGGCAGAAGAGTATTAATAAATTTATTTGGGCGGGGAAAAAAACCAAGAGTTAAGTTCAAGATTATACAAGATGTACAGGAAAGAGGAGGACTTAAGGTGTCTAATCTGAAATTATATTATGATGCGGTGGCTTTAATATTGATTAGTGATTGGCTTAATTTAACAAATAAAAATATACTTTCTCTTGAGGGATGGGATTTACTATATGGATGGCACGCATATCTAATTTATGATAAAAAAGTAGATCAGGTTTTTAAATCCCATATTTTAAGAAGTGCTTTATTGCGTGTCTGGAAGAAGTATTATTATAGGTTAAATTATAAAATACCAATTTGGGGGATTCCTGGACACGTGATAGAGGGGGTATCTAGGGGTGTGAACTTGAATAGGATTTCTTATAAGGAATTACTTAGATTGGTAGGGAAGGATTGGTAATTAAAATCTTTAGTTGAGTTAAAGCAAGAAAATATTGTACAGTCTTGGTTTCAGTATAACCAATTGTTGGTTAGGTGGAGCTTAGATCAAAAGGTTGGTATTACTTTAGGGGATGAGAATTTGGTAAAACAGATTAAAGATTCAAATCGAGCCCACATAAAGAAAATTTATAATGTTTTAATAGAATTGGATTCTGAAATGGATTTAGTTAAAGATTATATGATAAAATGGGCTCAAAATATTCAAGAACTGATTTCATTGGATACATGGGAGGTTATTTGGGTTAGAAATATAAAATTTACTCAGGCTCAAAATTTAAGAGAAATTTTTTATAAAATATTTTATAGGTGGCAT